ATCACTGACGAAACCAATAATTACCAAAACTCGCGAATTGGTTACACACCGAGTCCTGAGCCGATTGTGGATCTGCCCGACGATGACCTCACTTCTAGGCTCGCCGATGGCGGACACTCGCGACCCGACATCGGTTTAGATAACTTTGAATTTATTAGTGTTCTCGGAAGAGGACATTTCGGAAAAGTAATACTCTTTTTATTTCATTTAATCCCATTTGACGACCAAATAATGTAATCAATGATCGCTTGTTTTCAGGTGATTCTGAGTAAACACAAGAAGTCCGGCGAATACTTTGCCATCAAAGCCCTTAAGAAGGGAGATATCATCGCACGCGACGAAGTGGAGAGTTTGATGGCCGAGAAGCGTATCTTCGAGACGGCCACTCGTGTGCGGCACCCGTTTCTCGTCAATCTGTTGGCCTGTTTCCAGACCCAACAGCACGTGTGCTTTGTGATGGAGTACGCGTGTGGCGGCGACTTAATGATGCACATTCACAATGACATATTCAACGAGACCAGAGCCACGTTCTACGCGGCCTGCGTTGTGCTCGGCCTCCAGTACTTGCATATCAATAATATTGTTTACAGGTTTGTGTCCACACGACTCCACCCACTCTTTCACGCGATGTGTTAACTAATGGAAATTCATTTACTATTCAAACAGAGACTTAAAATTAGATAATCTGCTTCTGGATCGGGACGGATACGTGAAGATCGCCGACTTTGGTCTCTGCAAAGAGGGCATCGGATACGCGGACCGAACGGGCACTTTCTGCGGTACGCCAGAGTTCTTGGCGCCGGAAGTGTTAACAGAGACATCGTATACTCGAGCGGTCGACTGGTGGGGCTTTGGAGTACTTATATTCGAAATGCTTGTCGGAGAGGTTCGGCTCTCTTCTAATATCACTTTTGATGTAATCATTTAATCATTGAATTTATCTCTCAATTATCTGTCGATAACTTAGTCTCCATTTCCCGGCGATGACGAGGAAGAGGTGTTTGATAGTATCGTCAACGATGAGGTCCGTTACCCGAGATTCTTGTCACTCGAATCTATAGCTATTATGAGACGGGTATGTAATCAACAATTAAACCATTCATATCACAGTATATTATTGATTAATTTTTACTGTATATTTGTTATGCAGTTATTGCGCAAAAATCCCGAACGAAGACTGGGTTCGAGCGAAAGGGACGCCGAAGACGTCAAAAAGCAAGCATTCTTTAGGGTAACTATACTTTTACAACCATTAAGCCATTCTTGATAACAATTGCCTTCCCTTTCGCCCCCTTATGAACAGCATATCAATTGGGAAGACCTGATAACCCGCAAAACAAAGCCACCGTTCGTACCGACCGTCAAATCGCCCGAAGACGTGACCAACTTTGACGAAGAGTTCACATCAGAGCAGCCGGTGTTGAGTCCGCCGAAAGAGCCGCGAATACTATTAGCCAAAGAACAACACCTTTTCAGAGAATTTGATTACAGGGCCGACTGGTGTTGACCGCCGCCACACCACTCACACACATGTCATACGCCATCATATCTATCTGTTCTGTCACAACCATCGCATCCATTGCCCAATGGATTGCGTAACTCATCAACAAAATGCTTAAATTATTTCTTATTTATATAAATGTTATGCAAAAACAAAATACAATACGAGAAACCAAAAAATCAGACAACAAAATGTCAGTTCAACCAAAAAATCCGATGCGCTATCACTAACACTAACCATCGGTCGCCTACCCCTCGCCCCCCGGGGAGTGACCAGTGGTTGTTCCTAAGGGGTGGGCGATTACGGCCGTACGTTTGTGTTGACTTACGTGTGCCTTAAAAACAATTACTATTTTTAAAGGTCTGGTGCTGTCGGCGTTCAAAACAACTCAAACAAACAACACAACAAATACACGCCAAACCGTTTAATGACATCCATTTAATGCAATACTAATGGTAGCTATGATTGTGATGTTCGGCAACTAAATCAGTGTATATTACTGTTCAGTACTACTACTCCTATTATATCCACTCTTTATATACCACACAACGCATGCCTTTTTTGTATTGTCACACAAAGTATACCATGAGATCACAGCCAATGATTGTTTTGATTGAACAAAATTTATATAAAAAAACAAATCAAATCCAAACTAAAGTTTTAAATCAATTTATATAAATGTTTTTATCCAAAAAACTGTTTCCGATTCGTCGATGTCTTAAGGTTTTGCAAAACAAAGTTTAAATAAATATTAAAAATGTTTTTAATACCAATTTTTTAATTTTTCTTTCAAAAAACTTTTAATAAATTCTTTTAAGTTATTTGATTGACAAACAAAGAAGAGGTCTAGTCGTCGCCGCCGGCGTCCAGACGCGCGATCACAGCCCTCTTGCGCTGAGCCGTCTTGTTCTTCTTCACGGCGAGCGTCAGCTTCTTGTCGTTGAATCTCTTCTTCGACGGGTATGTCTTCTTCTTTGTCGGCTTGTATTCGGGATCAGCTCTGATGGCGGCGTGAGCTTTGGTGTATATGCCCTCCAACTAGTCGTACAAACAAAACACATCATCAGTCAAACAGATCACAAGTCAAACAATTAGCCATTTGTGGCCGAATGGTTACCTCATCGGCAGTAATGCCGAGTTTGGAAAAGCGCGAGAACTGGCGTTTGTAGGCGTCCTCATCCTCTTCCATCAGGTTCTTCATATAGTCGGCCACGTGTTGGCCAAAGATGTGCTGTCGGTGGACATCAGCGCTGAACTCTTTGGACTCAATGTCATAGCCGGGGAAGCGTTTGGTCGAGTGGGGGATATCAATGCCTCCGTCGGCCGCGCCTTTCATGGCGCCGAAAATGCGAGCGCCGGTCGTCGTGCGCGCCAGACCTATGTCCAGATACGCGCGGAACGCACGCGGTTTGCCTTCAATGTCCTCCACGTTGTACTGCTCGCCGGACACCGTCTCCGCGCCCTTATATATGCCGTCCAAATGAAACTTCTTCAGCAACTGTTGCAAAAAAAAACACACAATGAGTACAACAGAGAGACACGTGTAAAGGGGTGATGGAGTGGTGGACACATACCCGACGGGCCAACAGAAGTCCAGTGCAATAGGCGGCCGCATAGTTGGTGAGACCGACTTTGACGCCATATCGGGGCAGTTCGTGGGCATAAGCGGCGCACACAATGACGTCGCCCTCGATCTTCGCGTACGCGATCTGTGTTATGATGTCTTTGTTGGTGAACCTAACGATCAGCCGATACTTCGGTGTGGACACTTTTGGCGCTAAACTTGTTTTCACTTCGCATTCAAAATAACATCAAATTTGTTTTGACATCACTTTTGGGATCAGATGTTTGGGTGACTTCTTGTGTGAACAAGTGTTGGGAAACAATGCCCGCCAGTGATCGTCCGTTTGATGACTCGTTTGAGGTAATGATAGGCTTGTGTTTAGTGGTGATCGTCATCCGCGGTGTCACCCGATATATGTGAAGACAATTGAATTGTCATTTCATTTCATGTCTTAATGTCTTTGTTTTGATCCCTCAAAGGAGTCAATGCCTGTGGACTCTGACGATGAGGACAGCGCTATCTTTGACCGTTTGTTCTCCACTGACTTCGAGGACGAGTCGATTCTTCTTCAGCTGTCGACCGACGAAGAGTTGCCGCAAAAAGTTCTCAATTTCCAGAACTTTTGCGCCAAAAGAGGTGTTCAATCGGACAGCGGTTCCCATTATGAATACGTTTGCGGTTTAATTAATTTGACGCAAAAGTTGTCACAACTCGAAGACAATGCGATCATTGATTTGTGGATCAAATCCGACAAACAGTCGGCCAATTGTGTGTTGACCGAAATGTTTGAGTTTTTACCCGATTGTTATATCGACGCCTCTTTACCCAAATTCATCGATTTGTCTCAAATCGATCACACGCTGTAAGTCTTCGGCAATTGTCTCATTTCTTTACCATAAGTGATAACTATTTCTATTCTTCCGGAACAGACGGATGACTTTTTATGAATACTTGTGTTTTGTTGTCTGCCAATTGATGCCGACATTGAGTGACAATCACTTGAGTTTTGTGGAGCAAACACTGTTCGACAACTTATTATCCGAAGACTATGTGTGCCATCAGTTGGCCGCCGATGTCCTCTGCTTTATCGCCAGATTTTCTAAGCCGTCGCCGCTTTGCTATCAATTGTGTTCAGATTTGATGTCTTTATCTGTAGATATTGACCATTCATTGCTGCCCAACACCACAGCACTGCTCAACCGTTTGTTACCATTCCTCAAGAGCTCAGAACTCGATTATTTGATCCGAGACTACGATCTGTTCACACACTCTAAGGTGTGGTGTCTTTTGAACGTTTCGCGCGTTCTCTCCCTTCAAGACATCAGCCAAACTGTGGCCAAATTTGATAGACTTGTGGACAATGGAAAGCCTATCAATAATTATCAAATAAAACTTGTGTCCAATTTGTTCACAAACAGCGATATAAACAGTAGAATTCGTGAAACAACTTTGCAGACAGTTTTGCACACTTTTTCGCAATCATATGAACTGAAACTCAACGCAGATTTCATTAAATTGTTGACTGTTTTAATGCCGAGACAGCGATTCAATGACTCAATTGTGTTGAAAATGAACACCAAATTTACGGACATTTTTAAACACAGAGAAATGGATTTAACATTAATTGAAAATATGTTGACATTTTTGGTTCGGCTGTCAAGCGCTCAGATATCGCACTCCTATGAGTCTATAGTGATTAAAATGATCACAATTTGCATAAACAATATCTTTTCAAACAATAATTTTTACGCCAAATATTTGACACTAAAGGCGATGAAAAACATATCGTTAAAGTCTAAACGCACTGCCAGTACAACCGAGTGCTGCAAAGACCAGACATTTAAACAACATTTTGTCTTTTATATCAAGAAAATCAAAGTAATTATAATTTAAATAATTATTTTTAATATTTATTAATTAAAATAATTATGATTTATATTTAGAGTAAGCAATCGATGGAAGAAATAATGTTAAGAAATTATTTACAAAATACGGTGAAAAGAGAACCGAAGCACCGAATCGGCGGTCAAGTCAA